CCATTGCATTTAGAATCTGAGAATGAAAATTGTTCAGTTCTCGGTAACTGTAAACATTTTTATTTCTTTCTGGAATGAAAATAAATAATCTTGGTACTGTTGAGAAGGCATTTACTGTTTATATACTGTAACTGTATATAAGAATGTCTTGCAATGATCTATCACTAAGACCGGCATTCAACACATGTTAAACTCATGTCCCAAACTACCAAAATATTTACCATTTGTTAGTAAAAATGTATTTACATAATTCTTTTGAGATGAGTGTTGAAAGTTTCTTCAGACGGCATTAGTCACCACCACAAGATTGATTAGTTGTCTTTGAATTTAAAATATGAAACATTTGTTTTTCTTCCCAAATCAACTCAAATCAAATCAAATCAACTCAAATCAAATCAAATCACAGGATCGCTAGGACAGTTGCATTTCAATATCTGCAGACAACATTGACCTAGAACCCCAATGTCTTATTTCACAAAATGAACCTACATAATCGTTTTAAAAATGCTGATTTCAAAAAAAAAATTATTGAAATTTAAAAAAAAATATCTAAGATTTTGGCAGGAAAAATGATAGCCACTCAAAGGACAATTGTAAAACAAATAATACCATTAATTGTTGCCATGGAAATCAAGATAATAATTAAATTGTTAGCTTCCAAATCCTAATACATGTCAGCCATCTCACAAAGTGATGTAAATTCATAACATGAACTTTCACAAATGGAGACATGGAAATTAGAACTCAGAAAATAGAAGAAGCCTTGTTTTAAAGGTTGATGGTTGCCGTGCCACACATGTACAACATTTGTGTTGATAAACATTAATTTTCCCACAATTCAATGCACTCTTCTAAAGGAAATCACAAGTACGAGTTTTGAGCTGGGTACGACAAGAACGAATTACCACCCGTGACTCTTCGATACCTTCCAACCACCTTAATTGTTAAAGCTTGGTAACATATTTGTACTTGTTGTTCTGCGCAACAGTTAAAGTCGCCATCTTTGTTCATATATATGTTGTGCATATGTGGCGTGACAGCCATCGGCTTTTAAAGTCGGGCAGAAAATGTGATTTGTAGTTTTTTTTTTTTTTTTATAAATTGATTCATCCCTGGTAGCTATAAAATCAGGATTTTTGGTTTAGACTATAGGTAATGCTCATATAAATAATTATATAGGTGTTGCCTGTTGTAAAGTTGAGTTGTAAGTATTACATTGCTATGCATTTTGAAGAGCTCTTTTGTGTGAGAAAAGAGCCTAAAAATAGATATAAATAGGAGAAGGGAAAATTGCTTTCCAATCTATGCTGAATTTGATGAATAGCTTTTGTGATTATTCAGAATAAATCAGAACTACTTGCGTTCTCCCTCTGGTTGTATGACGTCAAGATCACACGGTTGACGATACATCCCGACAGGAAGCGTGTTTTAAACTGAAACCAAAATGTGTGTGTGTTTGTTGTATTACAAGCAGCCCTCGCAGAAGATTTCCATGCTGGCAATCTATTATCGATACTCTTTGTAGGTTTTTGCTTCGTTATATTAAATCTTCTATTTCAAATCAGCACTCATTGAAATTTAAAAACTCTGTCAATAACAGAATGGCTTTAATGTAGTAAGCTATAATGAAGGTGCTAATGGAAGCCTTGTGGTTCTGATATTTGCGTGTGGACATCAAATTGATGTATTTTTTAATGAGAAGAAAAATAGTGCTAGTCAGACCACTTTGTTATGGACTACCTTGATTTAATTGCAGGTTTCACAGGTAATGTTTTCCCGCTCTCAAAACCAATGAATTGGAAATAATTGCGTGCAGATTGATTTTGGTTGTCATGGCAACCACATTCCCTGGACAAAATGATGGGAAATTGGTAAATAAATATAAAAAAAGCATGAAAGGTGGCATATGTGCGCAGAGAATGTCCAATGTAGACATTTGAGCTTTCAGTGGAGTACGGAGCCACTGAGGTCACATTCTATGTGATAACCATCTTGTGGAAGCGCAGTGTTCACTGATTTCCTCAATTGATTTAAACTCAATCTTTGAGTTAATTTAGCTGACAAATTTAATTCATTATAATTATTGTTTATAAGTTGATACCTGAATTTTGGAATGTCTGATGTAGGTAGATTAGATTTATTGTTATCAAAGATAAAAACAGTTCCGATTTGACATGTAAATCTATCTATCTATCGATTTATCTGTCTGTCTGTCTTCTAACAGGATGGATTTTGTTTTTCCAAGTCACTAATTATGTAACTTTCGTAAGATGTTTTTCAAGACCACTATATCAATGTACTATTTTCTTTTGTGTCAATGACATGTCAGTGAATTAGTGTAATGAATTGCGTACAGTTCATCAAATGGACTACAGAGGGTGCACTGATTCTCACTTGAGCCAAAGGCTTTCTTCGCCCAAACCCCTGCGCCAATTTTCCCTTACTTCCTTGATTCCCCCTTTTACACACCCCCCCCCCCCTTTTTACTCACACCAATGTCTCAGCATTTCAGCAATAACTGGTAATTTCTAATTCTTTAAATACTACCGATAGATTGTGGTTAACATCTTGTCTCCATATATATATATGTATTAAAAGTAAAGTACCTTTCTTAGGAAAGGATCAAGTACAGTGTTTGTTTAGTTGCTACAACCAATAAATGCATACCAACTGAGTATAAAGTTTCCAGTATGTCACCCATATGTCTGTGCTTTAAAGTAGTACAATCCTAGCAAATCCTTGTCCTATCTAAACACTGTTAATGAAGAGACCACCCGGTATTATATGAATCTAGCAGAAATATCCCAGTGCTCAAATTGCCGGTTGAGAAATGTTTTGGTGCACTGCTGATTTTCTGAAACAGTGAATGTTTTGAGACCAATGGTGATCAATTATAATATAGGTGAATTAATATGTCATGGTGTGGCCCCAGAACATTCAATGAAAGTAAAGTATTTAGTCAAAGGATAATGTTAGCTGAAGAAACAAAATGATTATAATATTAACAAAGTCAAACACAGACTTTTTCTGGTATTTCGTGGTGTAAAAATAGTCAATTGTGTTTAACACAATACCTTGCACAGACTCGCTGATCTGTGCATGATTAGTGTGGGTATGTTATGGAAGTCCAATGTCTTCACCTTTTAATCGCTACATTTACAGTGATGTTCACCAATATCTGTGCTATTGTATGTATTTAAAAAAAAATTATGCTGTAACAGGAATCCAAATTTTGAAAGGGAAAATTGAATTGTAATTAATTAACTAAATAGTATGGTTGAAAAGGTGATGATTAAATTTTAGTTCAATTTTGTTCCTGTTCAGGCATTTCTGCCGACTATGTTTTAAACCATTATAATTTGCGGGAGAGGAGATTGTGCAAAATCTGTGTAAATTATTTTATTTCTTCTCTCAGTAAGTTTTGAGTAAGATTTTCTTTTTATATAAATTTTTGTCATTTTGTTTACCTGTGGACCCCCCCCCCCCCCCCAAGTTTCTTATGGGTCAACCCCTTAATGGAAGCCATAATTTACTAGGTTACTAGTCAACATGTCCACATTCTTATCCACTTTATCTATACTACTTTCCCCACTTTTGGTGGGTTAACATCCCCAATCAATTGTTAAATAGTTGGCTAACCTTACCTGTGTTTATCTGACACTCAATTTGTTTACCTGTGTTTACAAATTTCTATTGACCAACTTTAGAACGTATTTAGCTGATCGGTCAAGAGTGGCGCCTCTATTCATGGGTGTAGTTATAGCTATGCACACGTGAACGAAACATGTGTCTTTTCGGTGATGTAGATCAGCTGAAACCAACGCCATTCCATAGTGATTGTTCTCTGACCGCACTTTATCGTTTGTTGTTTTAGTGCCGTTACTATTGGCCTGGTCCACTGTTATTAGAGTAAAATATGCCTTGTTCCGCTTGCTTGCGTTTCAATAATGGCAGGGGTTTGTGAACATAGACTTTGTTATCGTATGCCATTTCTTCTTTTCAATTGGCTTGTTGTGTCCAAGTATGTCTGCTGTTTGAATTAATGGTGCTGTAATCTGCATTATCAGCTCTTTCCAAGTATATGATCAGTGTGAATCCCGATGTTGTTTGTCCTGTAAATACTATTTATTCAGAAATTGCTATTCCAGGTAATTTTACATGTTCCACTGTTTCATTTCTATGAGGAGGCCAACTTTTGGAATAAACCATTACTTATCAGAGTGGGTAAGAACAGTGAGATAAGGAGGAGGTTGTTGTTGTTGTTGGTGGTGGTGGTGGTGTTAATGTTGTTATTGCTGTTGTTGAAATGTTCTTGTGATCCATTGATTTTCTTCTGTTCTGATTCAACTTGTTTTTGGAAATATTTTATAATTTTGTCATTCAGCTTTTTAAACTAAATTGTGTTATACATAACAGTACTGTCCATAGTTCACATACACATGTAAACCGAAAATAGCTTTTATTGACGGTTTGATGTATAAAATCTGTCTACATCATAATACGTTTTGACAAAGGGAATGGTATACATGTATACATGATGTTTATTGTCTGAATGTTCACCTGTGAATATGCTATGTACATATATGGGTACTTACAGGTATTCTCAAATATAAATAGGTTGAAATTAAAAAACATACAACCACTCTGGAAAAACTGGTTATCCACATGAAAATGTAATTGTACAATAATTTTTATTGGTTCTTAATCAAAACAAATTTCAAATTTCTGGTTTACTAGTTTATCTACATGTATCTGGAGACAAGAACTAATTTTAAAACTGAAGATTTTTCCATCGAAATGATGATGCTGTTCAGGACTATCAATATGGCATATACAAATTGTGATTTCTAGAAGAAAAAAAATGCGTAACCAGTTTCAGGATTTGGTTGTCACATAAAGAGTTGCTCAGGCAGCCATACAACTGCTGATTCTGTACCCCGGTATATTGCATGCAAAAAAGCTTGTATACTATCATATGATGTTTTCTTTTTATTTTGTAGAACACAAGCCCATGACTTGAGTGCTGACCTACTCATTAGTGATGATGACAGCGAGGATGAGGTGAGATTTAGATAATATATGTACCAGTAATATATATAGCAGGGTTTGAATTTCTGAGGAACAATATTCCTGTAGCTATGCCATTTGGAGGCAAACACTACAAAGGCATCATTGGGCATCTAAGCCTTCATGAAGTCCAAACCCTGGTATACAAGTGTACCTAGAGAAGTGAGGAAACTGTATTTTAGCACAATAAATAATAATAATGCATTTGGAAATGAAAATATCTGCAGTAGAATTGTGTGTGTATATATGGATAGAGAAGGGGCTGCAGAATATTTACCTAATTGTATTACTCTATTCTGTGAGTATTTGGACATTTTAGAAGCATTTGACTAACTTCAATACAGCTTTGGGCCTTTGATTTTAACCAGATTTCACACCCCCATTGTATTTGTACCATAAGGGTCTGCCTACTAAACTGGTTTGTCCCCTCCTATCTTTAGTTCTGCCAACCCCACTTAAAGTCTTTTTATTGCCCCAGGCTTTATGTATTATACATCTCTGACTGGATATCAAATAAATAAGCTTGCTATTCATGTGTGCCATTTTTTAGTGAACTTCAAGTGTCTAGCAATTAGAATATCAAAACACCTTGGTTAGCTAATTAGCCCATAACTCTAAACCCCCCTATTCACCTCGTACAGTGGTGTAATCCTGCTGTTGAACTTTTAGTATGGGACATTCCATTATTGATTGAGAGGGATGAAATCTTAATTCATGGCTATTCACAGTGAATACAAACAACTGCAAATTGGGTTCCCACTAGATCCGAGGTATGCAATTATCCTACTTTTCCTATCTACCAATCTATTATGGTCCAGCATGTCAACGCCACCTCCTCTCAGTAGACATCACCCCCTCTTGGTGGACATCACCTCAAAATCATATCAGGATGTATTCCTGGGGAATTTTATATTTATGTATCCAAGTACCAGTAGAAGTTTATCAATGACATAAATAACTCATCATCGAGTTTTCATTCTATGATTGTGGGCTCATTATGCATTTTTTCTGTCCACTGAATTGTAGCTGTAGAAATAATAAGTATTGGGCAATAGGG